TTCTTCTTCTTCTCCCTCTTTCCACTCTTTCCTCGTCCTCTTATATTCGCCATACTCACCTCTCATCTCCTTCACATTCCCCCCTCTTCTAATGCTGTTACTTCGGTTGCCCGTTTTAACTCTTTATGACAGTTCTGGACAGACGATGTCGCTGAAGTTTCCGCATGAATTCGAATTTTTGTGACATGTGATATATGCACGATGAGAAGTAGATCTTTTACTTTCGATATATGTGTACTGTAATTTTTAGGTTTGCTTCAATACTAAAACGGCAATAACGAAAAAGGTAATGATGAACGAAAAAGTGAACCTAAATTCATAGAAGTAATTTGGCGACCATTGCACTTACACTACAGGATGGAAAATGTCAAGGAAACCAGATAGATTTGCAACAAATATAATGAGCTAAACAACACTTGAAAAGTGCCTTGCTAAGCTTCAATACAGACGAGTTGAGCATATCACAGAGCTCGGATTGTATTTCAGGAATTGCCAGTAAATCTGCTTAAAACAGAACTTTAAAGATTTCGAACTTTGCATAGTGTCTAGTTTTGTCTGATTTTACGAAATTTGCGTCCAATGACGTTAGGACCATTCCGTGCCGTCAGCGTATAAATTGCCAGGTCACGGTCCTAACACAGTCACCTGACACAAATCTATGTCCTCAGCTCTTTGCTCTTTAAACTCATTGCCCGATACAGCGCAAGGAATTCGGTAACATTATCTGCCACGGTCTCAGGTCTATCAATTCGGGGTTTGGCTTCTACCCAACTGTCAGAGGCAGTTATGGCCATTGCAGAGAATGTAGTTTTTTTCGTTGGCAATCGTGAGACTTCTTCCAAATACCAATCAAAGCTAGATTGTAAAACGTATCCTCATTGCAGGGTCTGCTAATTGAACAAGTCAGCCGAACTCACGCTGGTCTGTATCGCTGCTCCGCCAACAACGAAGCCGGCAGTCAAAACGCGGTGCTCAGTTTGGATGTACAGTGTGAGTTAAATATTGTATATAGTATGTAAATGATATATATTTTATATTAAGTGTGGCATCATAAAATCGAAACTGAGGGAGACAGAGAGCGCGTCGTTAAAAAACCTCGCCTTCAGGATGTATTTATGCATTTTATTAGGCAAGGGTCAAGTATATGTGCAGGGTAAGGAAAAACCATGGAAAACTGACTACCATATGCCTAGAAGAAGGTGTTGTTCGGTTGTGTTTTTAGTCAGTCCTTCGTCGACAGAATGACGTTCGCTGACCTGTACCGCTCCGAGGAGTCGGTGCTACTATTCTGCACCTCCCAGAGGCAATTAATTCTTTAATAAGAGAAAAGCTCGTTTTTTTATACAAAAATATTCGGCGCGGAGAGCAGTCAGGTAGAAAAGAATACCCCGAATATCGTTCGATGGAATTCACATGTCCGCCGGTAAAGCAGGAGTGTTAGAACGCTGATAGCTTTGTTAATCAACAGTTGACATTTTCTTACCCTCCGCATATACTTAATTCTTGCCTGACATTTTGGCATGTAATTTGTGGAGGCGTTCACGTTAGAGGACTGAGCGGCCTTACGAAAGAGTATACCAGAAGCGAGGTAGGAGAAAATCCCAAGTATAAGTCAAAAATACTAAATTAAAGTGCAAGGTCTTTATTTTGACTTTGGAAGGTTTGCGGAATTATCCTAATAGCCGTAGCCGTAACCGTACTGCTTCTCCTCGTGGCATTCGCTGCCCTTGCAGACAGTCTCACAGTGACCATCCTTGCAGTTGTAGCCCTCAACCTCACCGTTGTTGCAGTACTCCGACGTGCAGCCCGAGAAGTCTACACGACCGCCAAACTGCACGTGACCCTTGTACTGACTCTGGCCCTTTGAGCCACCCTTCTCGAAACGCCTGCCGTAGCCCTCCTGCTCACCCCAGCTCTCAGCGCTGGTCTGGGAGTAGGCGTGGGACTCGTAGCAGCCCTTGGGGTGGCAGATGTAGGCACAGCGACCGGCCTTGCAGCCGTAGCCGTCGAAGCCGTCCTTGTGGCAGGTCTCCTCGTAGCAGCCCTCGAAGTAGACGTCACCCTTGAAGGCGGCCTTTCCGGCGAAGTGACCGGAGGAGCCGTAGTGGGCCGAGGCGAGAGCGAAGAGGGCACAGAGAACGACGAATTTCATGTCTGCGGCGGTGAAGCTGTTTGAGATGGCTTCTCTTCGACAGCACTTTTATAGTCTTGCTGATAGGGTGGTCTCTAGTGCACCGATTGAAACCGTCGATATTTAGAGCATTTTGTGGGGGTAACTTCGCAGTTGCACTTCTGTGGCATTGGATCGATATGATACTCTGCCTGTTGCAACGCTTTCCAGCGGCTACTGTGCTGCAGTCTGTGGCATTGTGCAATCTGATCGATATTCCCAAATGATCGCTTGGTGTTCACGCACCATTTCACAGACTGGACTCAGATGTCGCGCGGAGGTCCGAAGGGTCATGCAAGCCGGCCTCCAGTCATATTAAATCATATCCAGTAATAGGTGAGCACTACAGAATAGTCACTTGCCTCGATTGTCTAAGTGTTGCAGTTGAACAGTCCAATTCTGAATTCTTTCGCAGAAGATAACTGATCTACAAGCGCGTTCATTGTTCGTGTCAGTTTTCGCGGCACGTTCGAAGAACCTGTACGTATTCAACAACTTTCACTTGGTTGTCTGCGTCTACTCCAGTTACTGGACGCATTCGTTTTGAAAAAATAGCACTGCAGCAAGTTCGGCCCTTTTTCAGAGAAAATTTTGTCAAATGCGATAGGAGCGGTAGGCGTGTAATGGGCCTCCAGAGTTCGGTCTAGTACCGTCTACATCACCCTGTCCAGTTATTCAATGCTGCCAGTCATAACAGTGTATTCCTACTCGCAAGATTCTTGGGCTTTCAGTTAGTCGGCGGAGATGCAGCGAGCCCCTGAAGAAAGAGACACGATCGCTGGGATAAGAGCTTTGTTACCCCGACGTTTCGGATCCCTGCTCGAACCCATAATCAGAGACAAAAACAGATACGGATGGTTCATGCACAAGGGGCTGCAGTATTTATAGGATGCCGCTGCCATGCTACTGTATACCTATAAACATTCACGGCTCCCCCTTTATTCGGGATCGTCGCACTTGGTGTGCTAATTGTTTGATGGCCGACATTCCTGGGACTCGTCTCTTCGCTTCTATTGGCAATACAGCGAGCTTGCAAAGTGTAACGTATAATTGCTCTTCTGGGCACTCTGAAGCCAATGGTCGGTTGTTGCACCTAACACCGGCAACGAATTTTTTTAAATAAAACCCCACCTTAAGGTACTCCTTGTTATCTCTGAAGCGAAAACCCCGATGGTGGGAAAAATTAGCTATTAGAATTCATTCTGAGAAAAAAGTGTATGCAGACAACTGTTTAACAGTCTTTGTTGGTCATAAGTGCAACTGGGCCATTTCTACTCACGATGATTTTCTCTCACGATCCTGTCTCTCGAGAAGCGAGGACTCCACATATGCATGCTCAATAACCATGCAGATTCATGTAACGAAGATTAATACCCGATCTCTGGAACAGTACGTGTAGTAGTCTGAGGTTTCGGTCTCGTACAGGAGGCCATCATCAGAGATGTGAGAATGCGGCGTCAAATGAGCGGTTTTGCAGTCAAATGAAGAAGGGGCGATAGGGGTGGAGGGGGTGGTGTTCGCGATAAGGCTGAGTCAACGCCGTTTCACGGCGGCGTGACTGCGCGCACCCTTGGCTGGGCATTGGGTCTCGCCTCTTGGCCGCGGGAGCGGAACGCGTGATAGCAGGGAGGTATATCAACGTGTCTGTTGATGGAGTTGGTGTCCGACACTCAGGCCTCCAGCAGTTCACGCTGGCTCAAGAAGTTGAATTCGTGGCTTTCGTCCAGAGTGTGAGTGGCGACCTGTGACAACAGGTCGCCTCTCCGAAATGCCCGTTTATGCTGCGTTATTCACGAGGTAAGCCGTCGCCCGGTCTGTCCTGCGTAATGGCGAGGGCAGTCCCGGCATGAGATCTGATAAACGACACCCGATTGCTCTCCTTCACTCGCATGATTTTGTTACGAGAACAGAGGGCGCGGCCAAAAGGCGAGACCATATTTCCAGCCAAGGGTGCACGCAGTAACGCCGCCGGTAGACGGCGTGGACTCAGCCCTAACACGAACACCCTTCTCATTGTTTGACTACAAAAACTGCTCATTTGACGCCGCATTCTCACAGTTTCGGGCGATGTCCTCCTCTGCGAGATCGGAAGCTCAGACTAATACATGTACTGTCCCAGCGATCGCATTTCATCCTCCTTACACCAAGAACCTGGGGTTCGCATATTCGCTTCCACACAGGCTCATTTCCATTTTTTCGGCAGGAATCTCGTGCATGTTCTATTTTTTCCAAATCAATAAACCCAAGTTCGGCTTTTGAAGTAGACTGGTAGGATGTGAGTGCTTTCTGGACGTCTGAGAGGCTAATGCATGCTGATAAGCGGCTCCAAGCCTGAAACAATGCTGATTGTCTTGACTCTCGTCAAAGAACTCCCTTTGTATATGGAGGTTAGTCCGGTAAGAGTGTCCATCTATCGGGGGTCCCTAAAACGCAGGTCAATGTTCCAGGTCAAAATTAATCACCCGAAGCTCGCCCAAAAATCAGACCAACATGCTGCGTCTTTTTAGTTGTAAATGCTTCGAACCGCAGTCGGCAAATTGTTCGCTAATAGCTCGAGGGTATCGCGTTAGACAAGAACCCTAACAGAATCGGATTTCTATTTCAAGTTGCCTTCCCATGAAGCTCGATTCCAGGACTGCTTTGATTTTCAGAAATTCCTATTTATTGATTTCACAAGTGACCGATGGGCAACTAATCGTTTTCCACAAATAGCTGTCAAACCCGTCAAATTACCTCGAGTGAACGCTTTCCAACCATTACTTCTTTATCATATTCCCCACTTTCTCGATTAAAAAAATGGTAACACCGATGTCAGTGGCATTTCCTCGAAAAGGAACTTAGATCTTCCACAACTATCGAAGACATTAGAAGGGCATGCCACTGAAAAAAACATTGTCATAAAGCGGGCTGGTAAAACTATAGTCGGCATCACTGAAGAGGCAGAAGGACGGTCAGGATACGAATCCGCACGGATACAAGATCCGGAAAGAAATATCTAAACTTTTGGAGCAGCGTGCTTGCATCTCTCTCTCTCTCTCCCTCTCTCTCTTCCACTCTCCTCACAAATCCGCCGTTTTCGCAACGCCTTTCAGTGAGACCGACGATCACTCGACCGGCCAGCACGGAGGTGTCTGGACGACAGGACACTATGCTGCAGCTCAACTGCGAGGTCAGTGAAGGCATTCCTAAGCCCATCATCACCTGGGAACACCATGGGGTCTCCTTCAGCAAGACGAAGAGTTTCTACACCACCACGGACTCCGGCCTGCTTATTTTCAATTCCCTGAAGTAGGTCGCCAGAGAGTTTACTCATTGGTTGGTAATCTCCAGAATCTGATCCACGGCCTCGAATTTATTTGCTTTATTGCTAGAGTAGGCCTTCCAAGTGGGAGAGCCCGTTTTCATATACGCTACACGGTTTTCTCAAACGTACGGTATACAGCTTTACAAAGAGCAGAATCCTTTGATAATCTCGGGTTGTGCGATATACCATATTTGACAGCTCAGGTACTAGCTTAAAGCCCAGACACGTGTTTCGCCGATGTTTCGCCGCTGCATGAAACAGTTACGAGAAATTCGGCCCATCAGTGGGCCTCCCAGCATTCCCCGTGTGATACCTAGTAGGCACTCCAGTTTTTAGATTGTAGCCTTTTAGTTTCCTCAGAAACTAATCGGTAACTTGGACTAAATCAGTCTGTTCGAGACGCGTAAGCTCGAACCAGAGTTTGATATGGTTGGTGGGAACCGAAGTTTATCAGCCACAACGGAATGACCGCGTAATATTCATAGGCTACTAACAGACAGCCAGTAGTATATACATGGGCTGCACAATATATCACAATTGACAGCACAGATAATTTTATATTTTTTGCGGTACGCGAGTCAGATAGGCTTGCCGCAGTAGATTTGAAAACGAAGAATCAGTCAGGGAACCAGTTGGTTCACTGCCGCGCAAATTCATCTTAGATTACAAACGGTTATTGAACTAGTGACATTTAAAGGCTTTATGAGCATTCAGCAGCTGACGTTATTCGGTTCCATGTATGTCAGTTAATGATCCAATTCAACCAAACTCTCACCATTTGACCTATTTCCAAGTTCTTAATTGAATGCATTCTTTCCGGTGTATTTTTAAGTGAGTAAATCGATATTCCGTAAAGACACCTTATATGGCAAAGTACACCAAGATTCCCGTCGGGATTTAATTAGGTCCTTGGGAAGACTGAAACACAAGCATCCTCTCTGAAATTCATGCTTATATCGCAGCCACCATCCTTCGTCAGATAGGTGTCTAAATTTGTTTATCGATCTCGGAAGTTATGCTTTTGACAGGATAACACTGCCGACAAAAACAAGGGAGACTAGAATGACCATTAGGGCAAGTAAGCAGACCTTGAAGGCACTACAGAAATCCATTCACGGGCTCTTATTTATCCCCTCTTTTTAAAAGAAAATCAAAATCGAAAAAATCCCTTGGTTTATTATAGGCCACAAGACGAGGGCGAATGGATCTGCATCGCAAGAAACGCAGCCGGTGAAGATCGCCTCTCTTTCAACGTCATTGTGCGCAGTACGTAAACATGCAGTATTTTGCAAAACTTTATAGACATATTTGCATAGCACGCAGCCTAAGATTTACGGCAAATCCAGTGTCTCAGGGAGGTATACGTGAATGTCTCTTTCTGTCGCTTGGTTGTTGATTACTCCTTTGGCGTAATCTTAATGGCCTAGAGTTTACCAACTCACGTGAGAGTGACGTGCATAGATCTATATCAATTATTTGGCAGAAACTGGTATTTCCAATCTGCTTTGATTGGCCAGGTCCAGAAAATATCCAGGTTGACTACGCACGCAACAACCCCCTGGGTGCAGCACATCACTAAGTGATGGGAGTCAAAAAACCAGAAATTGCCACTTCAGTGTCACATCGCAGTGTCAGCAAGTCTTATCCAAAGCTACTAGGAAATATACTTATGTATATA